TGACCTGGGGAATGCGGCACCTGTAGCCCATTTCCTGCACACGCCTGCGCACAGTGGCTCTGGATGTTTCTACTCCAGACTCAGTCCACTGCTTCCGCAGGTCCCCCAAGGTCTGGAATCGATCCTTCTCCACAATCCTCCTCAGGGTCCGGTCACCTCTTCTCGTTGTGCAGCGTTTTCTGACACACTTTTCCCTTCCCACAGACTTCCCACTGAGGTGCCTTGATACAGTGCTCTGGGAACAGCCTATTCATTCAGCATTTTCTTTCTGTGTCTTACCCTCTTGCTTGAGGGTGTCAATGATGGCCTTCTGGACAGCAGTCAGGTCGGCAGTCTTACCCATGATTGCGGTTTTGAGTAATGAACAAGGCTGTGAGTTTTTAAAAGCCTCAGGAATCTTTTGCAGGTGTTCAGAGTTACGTCGTTGATTCAGATGGTTAGGTTAATAGCTTGTTTAGAGAACCTTTTCATGGTATGCTAATTTTTTTGGGACAGGCATTTTGGGTTTTCATGAGCTGTATGCCATAATCCAACCATCCATGCATCCATTATCTTTACCCGCTTATTCCATTTTGGGTCACGGTGGTCGCAGGTGCCCATGTCCAGCAATCACTGTGCGAGGGGCGGGGTACACCCTGGACGGGTCGCAAGTCCATCACAGGGCTACATAGAGACAAACAACCATTCACTCTCTCATTCACACCTAGGGACAATTTTAGAGTTACCAGTCAGCCTAACATGCATGTTTTTGGTATGTGGGAGGAAACTAGAGCACCTGGAGAAAACCCATGCATACACAGAGAGAACATGCAAACTCCACCCAGAAAAGCCCCTGGACCGGGGTTTGAACCAAGGACCTGCTCGCTGAAAGGCAGCAGCAGCTCTACCAGTTGCGCCACCGTGCTGCCCCTATGCCATAATCATCAGTATTAAAACAATTAAAGACCGGAAATATTTCAGTTGGTGTGCAATGAATCTGAAATATATGAAAGTTTCATTTTTATCATTACATTATGGAAAATAATGACCTTTATCACAATATGCTAATTTTTTGAGAAGGTCCTGTAGATGACAGATCAAAACTTTAATCTGAGTAAATGTAACATTTTAAAGGAAAAATATGTTGATTCAAAATTTCACAGTATCAACAAATCCCAAAAAAGTTGGGACAAGTAGTAATAAGTGGCTGGCAAAAGGAAATTGTGCATATAACGAACAGCTGGGAGACCAATTAACACTAATTAGGTCAATTGACAACATGATTGGGTATAAAAAGAGCTTCTCATAGTGTCAGTGTCTCTCAGAAGCCAAGATGGTAAGAGGATCACCAATTCCACCATTGTTGCGCAGAAAGATAGTGCAGCAATACCAGAATGGTGTTACCCAGCATAAAATAGCAAAGACTTTTAAGTTATCATCATCAACCGTGCATAACATCATCAAAAGATTCAGAGAATCTTGAACAATCGCTGTGCGTAAGGGTCAAGGCCGTAAAACTCTACTGGATGCTCATGATCTCCGGGCCATTAAACGTCACTGCACCTCAAACAGGAATGCCACTGTCTCAAGGAAATAACAGAATGGGCTCAGGAATACTTCCAGAAAGCATTGTCAGTGAACATAATCCACCGTGCCATCCGCCGTTGCCAGCTGAAACTCAACAGTGCAAAGAGGAAGCCATCTCTAAGCAAGTTCCACAAGCTCAGATGTTTGCACTGGGCCAGGGGTCATTTAAAATGGAGTGTGGCAAAATGGAAGACTGTTCTGTGATCAGATGAGTCATGATTTGAAGTTCTTTATGGAACACTGAGACGCCATGTCATCCGGACCAGAGAGGACAAGAACAGCCCAAGTTGTTATCAACGCTCCGTTCAGAAGCCTGCATCACTGATGGTATGGCGTTGCATGAGCGCTTGTGGCATGGGCAGCTTGCATGTCTGGAAAGGCACCATTAATGCAGAGAACAATGTTCAGGTTCTAGAACAACATATGCTCCCATCTAGACGTCATCTCTTTCAGGGAAGACCCTGCATTTTTCAACACGATAATGTGAGACCACATTCTGCAGCAATCACAACATCATGGCTACATAGGAGATGGATCCGGTACTGAAATGGCCAGCCTGCAGTCCAGATCTTTCACCTATAGAGAACATTTGGCGCATCATAAAGAGGAAGGTGCGACAAAGAAGGCCCAAGACGATTGAACAGTTAGAGGCCTGTTATTAGACATGAATGGGAGAGCATTCCTATTTCTAAACTTGAGAAACTGGTCTCCTCTGTCCCCAGACATCTGTTGAGTGTTGTACGAAGAAGGGGGGATGCCACACAGTGGTAAAAATGGACTTGTCCCAACTTTCTTGGGATTTGTTGACGCCATGAAATTTGGAAACAACAGACTTTTCCCTTAAAATGATACATTCTCTCAGTTTAAACTTTTTATCTGTGATTCGTGTTCTAGTCTGAATTAAATATTAGATGTTGGCACCTCCAAATCATTGCATTCAGATTTATTCACAATTTGTTTAGTGTCCCAACTTTTTTGGAATCCGGTTTGTACTTTCTATAAACTTTACCATTTTCACCTGTGCATACTTTCCTACATTTAGTCATTAATCTGAAGAGGAACTTCTTTTCTGGCCTTCCAACCCTAACTTACACAACTTTATTCGTATGTTCTTGCCTGGTCTAGCTATTTTTTTTACCTTAATTAAGTGTCAAATATAAATTCAAAAAGGGCTTTGATTTAAAAAATATACAGATAAATGGAGTCATTTTATTGATTTAAAATAAAATATGTATTTGGATACTTTATATTTCCGTCCTGCATCCAATACGCTTCATGAAAAATCTTTTTTTTCATGATTTTGCCTCTGATTATGAAGTGTTTCTGCTGAAGTTTGGACTGCAAGCTGAACAGCTGGTTTTGACTTCATTTTAAAGGTAAAAATAAATTTGACACCAACACACGTTGAGACACTTGTTTCTTCTCATTTCAGGAGTGGATCCTGACCTGTTGGTGTTTGGAAAATACTTCACATCAAACGTTCGTGTGTTACCCCACCACTTCAGTCGGGTGAATGCCTCCGATCTTCTGCCCCCAGACAAACGACAGCTCATCCATCCACCTCCTCCTGAGAAGCTGCCTCTTACCTCTACATCTCCTGTGACACCATCATTTCCAGCAAGAGACGTGCACACCAATGTGGCATGGCGGAGCGCCTGTCAGCTCACAACTGTCTCTTCATCCACAACAGCCTCCTCTTCTTCTGGAAAAACGTCCTCATATTCAGGAAACAATGTGCAAACCACAGACCCAACAACTGCTCCACCAGCTTTATCACTTGGGCTTATTACTCCGTCCATGTTCACCACCGTTATCTCACCTGCTCATTCCAACTCAGAGACTCCACATGACATTTCTGCTACAACTCCAGGACCCTTCATCTCCACCCATCAGCCAACCACAGCCCGCCACGAGTCATCTAACAGCACTTTAACTGACTCAACTACTCTGAGTAGCACTGAGGGCAGCCTCGAGAAGAACCAGACTGCAGACAGCAGTGATGGCCATGGGGTCAGTGAGGGGAGCACAATCACAGAGCTGGGACCTGGGTGGCACGTGGCTGCACACACCATTCTGGTGTTAGTGGCCGTGTGTGTCACGGTCCTGCTGAGCTGCTGTTGCTCGGTTCTGCTGGTGGCGACCTGGAGGGGTCAGAGGAAGAGGATGGGACGCTATCGTACATCATGGAGAGGAAAGAAAAGCTCCATGCGCCTGATCAAGTATGTGCTGGTCAGAGAGAACTGCTGAGAGGGAGGATGGAACGGGCATGCTTCATCTCTTACTGCTTTTAAAGTTAAGAGAGCATTTAACTTGGGCTACATGAGAATTTGGACAGTTTTAGTTGATTTGATCTTTTGAAACTATTTTATGCTTCTGTTCCATTAGTACATTTAGTACAGGTACAGCACGGTTCGACTCGGCTCAGCATGGTATAGTTGTTTTTAGTTGTATAATTGTTCTAGTGGGTGGGTTCAGCTCAGAGCCTGGGCCCCGGCCTTGTGTGCTCCTGCGGGTTGGCAGCACGGAGGATCTTCTGCGGTGACCGGTGGAGCTCAGAGCCGAGGAGATGATGCCCTGCCTGGCCTGAGGGGGCTCCGAGGCTCTGGTGGAGAGGAACGGTGAAGCTCCATCTAGCTCGCTTTGAATTTTGTCAACCACCAAGCACAAAAAATGCCTGCACTTCAGCATTAGACCACGGTGTTGTCATTATTGTTTTAAAAATCTTTAAAATAGGTCCAGTCGCTCCTCGAGTTTGAGTTATTGCAAAAGGCGGATTTTGTTTTTGTAAATGTTTCTCAACAACCAGTGACTCCGCCCCCGACCAAATAGTGTTCTGACATCATGTTTTAAGGCCAGAACGGTTGGAACCCCAGAGAAATGGGTACTGAAAAAGGGACCGGGTCCACAAACCATTGCTAGTGGAAAAGCCTTGGAACCGAGCCAAGTCGAACCGTGCTGTACCGTTACTAATGGAAAAGGGCCATAGTGACATACATTGTTTATAATGCTCCAAAGTAGACAAGAATGTAAATAAAGCTTAGGAAAAGGCCCTGGGAGGCTAGAAGAGACTAAAACATATCTACCAATGATTCTGTAACTTAGAAGGGCAGAAATTTGTCATATCGGTTCATCAGTATTTTGCTGAACTTCGCATTTATGACAAACCTAAAACATCAAGCGGTTAATAGGGCTCAGGACTGATAACAATTCAAGAGATGATGACAGACTGTGTGTTGTCCTGTGACTTCCATTATTGAACTGTTCCACTCATCTACTCTGACCATTAGACTGCATTTGATAGATCAGACAAAGAACCTGCCAGCTGCTGAAAACATCCTTTGACCGTGAGCTGCTCGTTGACCTGATGATGAGTAGGATGGATCTGAAGTTGGACATAAAACTGTCTGAAGCTTTTATTCCATGAACACTTTGTTTTCCAGCTTTAAAAAGACATTATGAACAGCTCATACAGTCATGGCTAAAGATTTTTGCATAGATGACTGTTTTCATGTTTCTATGGTTTACTGAATAACCTGACACAAAATTAAATGTCATTCATTTTTGAGGCTTTATTAGCAAATGCATCAAATTTACAAGAGCCATTGTTATTTTCAGTTTTAACCATATTTCACATGCTGGATATCAATTATTGGTCAAATCCTGACCGATGGTGACCCGTTCTTGTTTTAGTGCTTATTGTTCATCAGTTTATTGGTTTCTGCTTTTTTTAAACTGGCCTAATGTTCTGTGGATTTTATTGGCCACAGGTTCCAAGTTTCAACTTATTTTTCAGCCATTTTCTTTTCACGTTTCCCGACGCTCCATCATGTTGGAAAATGGGTGTGGGGTAAAAAAAAGTTTTTTTTAGATGCCTTGCATCACAGACATGGGAACAGTCTGAACTGATTTTCAAATAATGTTGAGAAGCACAAAAGGTGCGGACATGCAGAGTATGGACAGTCTGTGTGCACACACTCATTCAACCTTTATTTAGACAGGTAATCCCATTGAGCCTCGAGGACTCATTTGGGCTCATGACATGGACAAGATGGCTGAGCGAGACAACTAGAAGTAAACTACCAGTACTTGGAAGAATACAAGTACTTTACTTTAAAACAGTCTTGGGGAAAAGGAGCTGAAATGCATCAATGTAATTTTATCATTACAATGCAGCATGCACAGTATTTACTATTTTACTGCAAATAACATTTGGCTTTGAAGTTATATGGAAAACTTTTCTGTTACCATGTTCTTAGCAATGTTCTGCATTTAGATAATGTTCTTTAACCAAAGTAATGATGGATGATGGTCACTGTTGCCAACACAAAAGACAATGATCTCAATCTCATCCGTCTGTCTTTTATACACAACTTGCTTACATGATATGCTCCTGTGCAAATATAAACTGTATTGTTAAAATCAGCCATTCAATTCAGCTTATTTATATAGTGCCAAGTCACAACAGAAGTCGTCTCAGGACACTGAAGCTTATGTTTTAGATTTTTTTTTATACAATGAATTAAAATCACTAATCACAATATTTTACCAAGAATAAATTGTTACTGCCAAAAGCTTTAGCCACTTTTAATGTAGTATTAAAGAACACATAATGTGACAGGTAACAACAGCATTTCATTTTGAAACAAATACTGCAACATGTTTATTGAAGCAGTCATCGTTTATCATTTGGTTTAGATTACAATAAAACTAACAAACAAACAAACAAACAAACAAAAAAAACTATTACAGAGCACAAGTAATTTATTGAGCCACAAGTCTTGAAAATATTCGATGTCGTCGTTCTTGGTTTCCATTTTCATGTAAATGCATTATTTGCTGGTGTTACAGGTGGAGCACTTTTCGAACGGCCTCCTTGTACTGCTGCATGATGCTCTCGCTTTCTCCTTCGTTTTTCAGCCGTGTAACCGAGTCCTTAAACTCCTGCACCTCCTTTTGTCCCAGAAGCTGCTCCCTCACTTCCTTCTCATCTCCCTCACTAGTCACTTTCATGCGCAGCAGCGTGTCTAAGAGGTTTCTTTGGGACTGGCTGTCCTCCCAGTTGTACTCCTCCATGTCTGCTCTGGTCTTCTCAGCCTCCCAGGTCTCAATTTTCTGAACAATGAGGAAAAATCAATCAAACAGAACATTTGTAATTTGCATGCAGATGGAAATGGTAAATGGACTGTACTTATATAGCACCTTTCTATCTAATCAAGACACTCAAAAGCTCTTTACAACACAATCTGTGCCTCATTTACCCATCAATACAGCACTCTACTAGATCTCTACAAAGCTAATTCAACAAATCATTCTACAGAGATTAATCAGAGCTTTATCACATTTATACACTGATGGGCCACACATCAGAGGCAATGAGGGATTCAGTGTCTTGCCCAGGGACACTTCAGCATGTGACTGCTGGTGGATTAGAACCCCCAACTCTTGCAACTAACTGACTGCTGTAACCACTCAGCCACAGCCGCCCGATTTCCACAAGCTGACTGAAAACAAGTCTGAAGACTGCAGTGAAACTATTTTAGGATCATTTCTGTAAACAAAGTCACGTTTAAAAAAATAAAAGTGGTGATGGTATATATGTAATATGCATAGTAATATATGTTTAGTAATATGTATAGTAATTAGGAATGTGCGATATGGCATAAAATTCATATCACGATATGTATTGTGAAGGGTGGCGATAACGATATATATCGCGATATGTTTTTGGTATAAAACTTGCTAAATGAAGGGTGGCGATAACGATATATATCGCGATATGTTTTTGGTATAAAACTTGCTAAAAAAAGCATAGGGTGTCCTTTTGCCATTATATTTTGAATTAAGAAAATTCCACTACTAGGTCCAGAGAGTTTTTAAATAATAAACAAATCAAGTATTAGGCTTCTTTCTTGTAGTGCAAAACAGTGCAAAAGATATCAAATGTAGTTTTAGCCATGTTTTAAACAAAAGAAAATGTTGCTAACTTTTAACAGTTTCCAGTCTTCTTACTTAAGAAATGAACAGCAACAAAGCAGCATTTTACACTGAAACACTTCACCCTCCAAACCTCTAGTGGTCGACTCCTTCTACTTTAACGGCGAGCTGACAAAAAATGAGTCTGTGGCTTTGACCAGAGGGTCTCGCAGTAAAATCACACAACACAGCGTTCTTTTCACAGATCAGATTTCTCTAAAGCTGACCAACGCTTACTTTATCTTTCGATGGGAACAAAAAAACAACTTTCAACGGAACACATCGTTTTGCGCATGCGTCAGAATACGGCAACACTAAAGCAAGCCGGCTGTAGTTAGCTTGTAGCTACTTAGCGCTCCAAGAATAACGCCACTTGCGCACAGTTTTTAACTAAAAAAAAGTAACGATTAAATCTGACAGGGCTGACTTTACACTTGAGCACCACTTACGCACAGTTTTCAACTAAAAAAAAGTAAAGATTAAACTGACAACTCTGATTTTACATCAGACACAGCATTACTGCGGTTAGCCGGTAGAAGACAGGTCTCTATCGTAGGCTAAATTTCTATCGTTTCTACCGTATACCGTTTATATCGCGCATTCCTAATAGTAATATATGTTTAGTAATATATGTATAGTAATATATGTATAGTAATATATGTATAGTCAAGTCAACTTTATTTATAGAGCACATTTAAAACAGAACCTGTTATCAAAGTGCTTAACAACAACAACAACAACAACAACAACAACAACAACAACAACAACAACAACAACAACAACAACAACAGCAACAAATGAGAGTAAAATTAAAGAGAAAAAAATACAATCCACTAATAATAATAACTGAAGAATTAATAAAAAGCATTTAAAACATAGGGTCACAGAACAAAAAACACTAAATCAATTTACAATGTGTGAAAAGCCTTCGAGAACAGATGTGTTTTTAGCAGAGATTTGAAGTGAGGAAGGGAGGTGGCCTGCCTGATGTTGGGGGGCAGGTTGTTCCAGAGTTTGGGGCCCATGACTGAAAAAGCCCGATCTCCTCTGATGTAGTGAACCTGATGACCTGATGATCTGACCCTTATCTGACCCTGATGACCTCAAATCTACCAGATGGACAGAGACTGTTATTTTCATTGATCTGAATAAGTCTGAGCCATCTGATGACTTTCTTTCTTGAATTAATCAAGCAGAAAAGACAATCCTTTATAATCATTACTGTTTTACAAATGTTTGATAATCAAATTGTGTTAGTTTCACTCAATGCTTACAGGTTGAAAAGAACTACTCATTTTTATTTTACATAAACAGTAAGTAATGATTTTTATTCCTCATTCAAAGAAGAAATCACCTGAATATGCATTTCTTGATTTTCTGTCTGAAATGAGCCAAGTCGTAAGTGTGTGAAAGTTGAAGCTTCGGTCAACTAAATGTTTACTGAAGAAGAAATGTCATGTTTAACTATTTGAGAAGATAATCAGAATAGAGACTCCACGAAGTCTGCTTTTTGCAATAATCTCTCTGTCAGTTGTTAAACAAATTTCATTCTCTGACCTCGACTTTTGATAAACACCTTACGTCAAAACCACTCCTCTTTCTGGTCCATCCACGAATCAGAAAGCTCTGAAGTAAACTCGGAAGTAAACTCATTTAAAATGTGACAACTTCCCGGTTCTAGTAGAGTGCAGTTAGTTCTCGAGGAGTTCAGAAGAGAATTCATGGGGAATTCATGGAGTGCAGTCGGTTCCAAGAGACTCGGAGTTACAGAGTTGGAGAGATTCCAGAGAATTAGAGTTATGGAGAGTTTTGGAGTTGGAGTCTGAGAAGATCTGAAAGAGTCTGAGAGCTGCTGACAATGAAGAGTCAGAGTTGCCGAGAATCCAGAGACGTTTTGGGATTATAATTCTGTTTTGAGCTAACCACGCACGACTCTCCAAGGATTTTAGCTGTTCTCAACGGAGACGCTGATATCAGTCTGAAGGGTTCTTACTGAGGTGATCTATCGTCAACAAGGTAACGGTTTCTTCTTCGACTAAAGTGTACCTGGGATAAGCTGAGATACCTGATGGGAGCGTGCAATTTCTGGTCAAACAGATTAAATTCCCTCACATATTCCTCTGTAAGATAAATCTCAATTTCCTCTTAAACTCACCTCTCTCTCATAAATCAGTACAGATATTTTTAGAAATATCTGAAGCAAAGTCCTCAAATCACCGCCGAGTGATTTGAAGTTCAATATTTGTGAAACTTGTCTGTTATTATTTTCATATTTTGCCAAATTAATGTAAATGTTTGATGTTAAACTTTGATTCTGAAAATAAATGACTCCATTCATTTGGTGGGTCAAAGGTAAATAACGTCTCTCGTTACATTTCTGTCAAATTCAATACACGACATTACAGTCAGAAAGATGAGGAACTCGTGAATATAGTATGCATATAAACGGGGATATATTGTCATACTACAACTAGTGACACGTACCAACGTGACTCACTACACTGAGCTTCAGTCTTGTTTTTGGAACAGCCAAAAGCAGCTGATCGGATGATCTCGGGGCCCGAGAGGGAACGTAAGGTTCCAGAGGCTCAGAGAGGTAAAGGGGTGCGAGGACATTTAGGCACCTGAAGGTCAACAGAATAACTTTAAAGACTATCCTAGTACAAACAGGGAGCCAGTGAAGGGAGGACAGAACTGGTGTAATATGTTCAGACCTACGAGTTCCGGTTAAAAGCCGAGCAGCAGCATTCTGGACAAGCTGAAGACGTGAAATGGAGGCCTGGCTGACCCCAGCATAGAGTGCATTGCAATAGTCCAATCGGGTCGTGACAAAGGCATGGACTAGTTTCTCAAGGTCGGGTCTGGACAACACTGGCTTGAGCTTAGCTACCTGTCTTAGTTGGAAGAAGCTTTTCTGCAGAACAGAGTTAATTTGTTTGTCAAACTTGAAGTCAGAGTCTAAAACCATCCCAAGATTTTTACCAGACTGCTTAAGATATGGCTGAAGAGAGTCCAGGTTGACAGGATCAGTGGCGGCAGTTGAGCTAGGGCTAAAAACAATGACTTCAGTCTTGTCATTGTTAAAACTTAAGAAATTTGAAGCCATCCAGGCCTTAATGTTGTCTAGACATTTTAACAGAGGGTGAATGGAGCAAACACTTGCTGGTTTCACAGGCAGGTAGATCTGGCAGTCATCAGCATAGCAATGGAATGAAAGACCATGTTTCCTCAGGATGGACCCCAGTGGGAGCAAATAAAGTGAGAACAGAAGGGGTCCAAGAATTGAACCCTGTGAGACCCCACAAGAAAGAGGTAATGAGGCGGATATATTTTTCCTAACCTTGACACAGAAACTCCTGCCACTCAGGTATGAGCGGAACCATTCTAATGCAGCACCTGTGATCCCAACCCACTGTTCCAGCCGTGATATAAGGATACTGTGGTCAACAGTATCAAAAGCAGCAGTAAGGTCCAGGAGCACAAGTACCACAAATTGACCAGAATCGTTTGATATCATAATATCATTACAAACCCTTACTAATGCTGTTTCAGTGCTGTGGAGTTGCTTAAAACCAGATTGAAAAATCTCAAAGATTCTGTTCTCATTCAAAAACTTGTTTAATTGAATGAAAACTATTTTCTCCAAAATTTTGGACAGGAAGGGAAGCTTTGAGATTGGTCTGAAAATTGAGCAAGTCGAAGGGTCAAGTCCAGGTTTCTTAATTAACGGATGAACTACTGCGTGTTTGAAAACATAGGGAACCACACTTGTCACAATACTACTATTTATAATAGTGAGAATAGTAATATGTATAGTAATATATGTTTAGTAATATGTATAGTAATATGTATAGTAATATATGTATAGTAATATGAATAGTAATGTGTGGCTTTGTAGCAACAAAACACAGTGACAGGTTAATTTTAGCAACTGATGAAAAAGTTGTGGTGTTCTGAATCCATCATACATCTTTGACCCTTCTCTAACTGAATAGTCCTTGCTGTGTGTGCGCTGCCTGACTGGAAAACAATCAGACCCATTATGCAGCAGCTTAAAGCAGAGCAGTGACCAGTTTAGTTTCAGTCCAGGTGTTTCAGGTTAATGATCATAATTAGAGTAGTACATAACCCATCCACAT